TGAGTGATAAAACAGTAGCGTAATGCAAAACACTTATGTGCCCACTTTTGAAGTACATTTTTTAAAAGCATCACATCAGTTTTCCTGAAATATCCTTGAGTGGGCTACATGATTCTTATTGCTCAAAATGGACTACTATGAAAAATAAGAACTAAATAATTTCCTATTATTAGGATGACTAAAAGATTAGCCTGAAATGATATTCAGCTTTTCTCGTTCAGCAATTTCCTCCAGGCTTTGTAAAAAATGGTAAAAACTTTCTATACTAAAGCTCAGATAAAATCAAAAGCTAGTGTTTTGATAAGAGGTTTATGCACAAGCCCAAGTTCCCAATCTTTTCCCTCCTTTTTTATTTATTTAACATGCCATGGATATAATGTTACATTCAGCTATTCATTTACAAAATACTATGAAATAAGTTTCCAGTTGTTCTCCTCACTGAATAAAGCCACTGATGTTTGCATTTTTCTCCAATGTTGTGTACGTACTTTTTCAAACTATGAAATAAGACACTGTAGGTAACACCAAGTCAAAAACTAGCCCTATAAATTGGTACCAAGATAAATAAATGCAACAGCTAGAAATAATTACGTTGTAACCCCCGAAGAACTGTTATTCGAGCATTTTCAAATGTCTACAGAGCGTGTTTACACAAGTCCTCTATTTCGGGCAAGGGATACATTCCTGGGGAATGAGCCCCCTGAGAGCCCAGGAGAGCCAGGACTTATGCTAATGTGGGCTTGCTTCTCTGTCAGCAAGGCTCTTGTCTTCCCTGCAATTTCCCACCGAGGTTTCTTTCTCTTTCTGTTCCCTGGCTTTAGGAAGGTTCATTATACTCTCCAAAGTGTCCTGAGACTTCCAAGCCTTCAGTTCATACTGATATTTAACCTGTTTCCTCAACCTTTTCCTCCAAGAGTTAAAACCTACCATGACAATATCAAGCCCATATTTGCTTTTTATTAATTTTTTTTTTCATCACCAAAGACATCCACTATACTTTTTGGGTGTTGCTGTTGCTGGCTCAATGTTTCAAAATATGTACTGCATGGTGTTCCATTAATACCAGTCACCATCAAAAGCAAATGAAAACAGGAACAGAAAACACATGGAATTCTGCTAAGCCACTGTAATTTTCTTAATCCATTTCTATTTATTTTATTTAGGATGTAATTACATGGACCGATGTTTATTTTTAGGCGAGTGCTGACTGCCCTTTTGCTTATAATTTATGTATTCTCATCTACTGACTCCCAAAAGCTCTGTAAATGTAAGGTAATTCAACCTACATAAACAATATCTTGTAACCTACCAAGTTCCCATCCTGCTATAACTGGCTGTTACCATAAGAGAAAATGAGGAATGTCAGCCAACTTCTTTCAATGAGTTTTTTGTAATACTTTAAAATAAGTATTGTTTCCTAAAAATAATAAAGAGGAAGTGGACTGTGCTACCACTAAGTTTATCCATTCACTCATCTACTCACTGATTTTCACCAGAGCATATTCATTTATTCAATAAACACACATTGACTTATTCAGCGGTTGAGGAAAGAATATATTTTGTTGGTCCAGTAAACTCTATACTCTCTAGTGTTTGTTAACCTCTTTGGGGGGAGGGAGGGCAACAGAAATCAGTCTCAAAATCGTAGAACAAGTTTTAAAGATGATCTTGACTTTTACAATTTAGAGTTTATCTTGAAGGAAAAGAAGAAATTAGAGTCTTTTTCCTCCCACCCTACAGTTCTTCTCAACGATTAAAATTTATACTACCAATTATATTATCAAAACAATCATTATACTTTCAATTTTAGTGCTCACGAGAGCAACATACAATTGTGTCATTAGTGAGCAGGATTCCGGAAATAAAGTGACTTTTCACAGAGGACCTTTAAGCTTGCATTTGTACTGCTTTTCTGATAACAAGATGAAGGGGAACGTAGAGAAGGGGTTGTACCCGGCATTGTCTCTATTAGATTTCATTCAGTCCAGGGAGGCAAAATGGTGGCTCTTCCTCCCAGGACACGACACACAGGACATAACATGGTGATGAAATGGGGGCCTTTCACAAGAAACTAAATTCCAGAATCACACTTCAGGGCTGTACCCACAAACTTCTGACACCTTTTTCCGTCGTCTTTGTTGTAAAGATCCCGACTTCTATCAAAAATGCCAAGAACAGGATGAACCCTGAGTAGAAACTGACCCGATTCTGAAAGAATTGTTATATTTGAGTTACAAGCAGAAAACAGCCAATGTGAAGGCTTAAGCATAACATCTGAAGACTGAAACATGAAATTTGAAGACAAACATAAATGAAAATATGTTTGAAATAAAAAATTATGATAAAAATAATGAAGGGATAATTATATTTGAGTTTCTGTGGGGGGGGGGGTTTAATAACCATGCAAATCCATGGTTTGTTTGTTTTTTCTCAAATAATCAACATTATTTTTTAACCTATTACTGTTCAACCCAGTAAAATATTTGAAAATAAATTTGGTTCTGTAATGAACCTGAAATCAACTTTGCCCTGAGCTGATGTCCTTTTGAAGGGGCCCATTTCCGCTGGGTAATCTTACTATCTAGAGTAGACAGTGCCCCTTTGTTTCATGAGAGTTTATTAAATGTTTGTTTACAAATATGTCAACACGGTTCCAAAATGGAAATTACGTAAAAGAAAGTATAAGCTCGGTCCCTCCATCCTGGGCTTTGAGGATGTAACACAGTGACTGATTTCATTGAGGTGATTTTGCTTCGGGAGTGGGTGTGGGGCCGAGGGCATGAGAACCATGGCAACATCTGGGTCACGGGAGCTTTCCACCTCAGGGGCAGGAATCACCAAAATGCCTTCCGAAACCTTTGCTATTTTTGCGTTTTTACTTATTTATTTACTTTTATTATTATTATTTTTCATCCTCACCCGAGGATACTGTTCCATTGATTTCTATGGAGAGTGGAGTAGAGAGGGAAAGACAGAAACATCAAGGGTTTCCTCCTGCACGAACCCTGACCAGGGTCCGGGCTGGGGAAGATCCTGCAGCCAAGTATGTGCCCTTGACCGGAATCGAACCCGGGACCCTTGGGTCCACAGGCCAATGCTATCCACTGAGCCAGGGCACTATTTTTGTGTTTTTAATTGGAGGTACATGCACTTTCCTCTCGGGTGACCTTCACTCTGTGCTGGTGGTGATACTGGTGGCTTTCAACGGCCTAGGCAAACATCTGAAACATAACTAACTCAGGACCACATCGTCCTAACTTCAACGTGGAACAACACTGATGTCAGCTAGAATCATTCCAGAAAAGTGTGGCTGTCCTGTCTCTCCTCAGTCTAATGGTCATTAGGTTGCTTCCATGAATAACTCTTGCCCTAATCCCTGCGAAGTAATGTCTTATGGGAGAATGATGGGGCAATGTGGAGAACATCAAAAGGAAGGAAAACAATGGAAGTTTTTAAAAATAATGAATCTATGGGACAGACACAATTTAAAAAAAAAATAATAAGGAAACAACTGTTTAAATATCTATTGGTAGAAATTTCTGACTATACGTCACTGAAACGGAGAAGTGATGTGGAGACAGTTGAGGCCGATTCCCTACGTTTTCCAAAAGGGTGTGGCTGCAAACACCCTCTGTCTGAGAACATGACTTCAGATTTTGTTTTTAAATATGTTTTTATCGATGTTTAGAGAGAGAGGAAGGGAGAGGGATAGAGAGATAGAAACTTCGACGAGAGAGGAACATCGTGGACTGGCTGCTTCCTGCATGTACCCCCACTGGGGATTGAGCCTGCAACCTGGGCATGTGCTCTGACCAGGAATCGAACCTGCGACCTCTCAGTTCCTGGGTCGACCCTCAACCGCTGAGCCACACAGGCCTGGCACTTCAGATTATTTCTATTTTAAGCTTGGCTCCCTCCCCTCTATCATCCCTAAGCTTTTTATCAGTATTGGACCTCATCCATACATTTGGCCTCTGGCATTTGACCTCTTGGCTGAGGTAAGACCGCCACTTCCCATCAGCCCCACCTCCTAAGACAGGAGGCTAAACAACACCTCAGTTGGAAACCAGGCAAAAACTAAAAGAAGAGGGGGGAAAAAAAAACACAAAAAAACACACACCCATAACAGCTTGTTAAACACATAGTGTATGACAGGCACCTCTGTACATGGTTTAATCTTATTCATTGATTTAATCCACAAAATAATCCTATGGTTCTTTTATTATCCTTATTATATGGAGTAGATAGCTGAAGCTGAGGGAGGCCTAATAATTTATCCAAGGAAACACAAACAGGAAGTCAGTGGGGTGGGGGCTGGAGCCCATGGTATTCGGCTCCAGAGATAATGTTCCTAATTGGAAAGCTATGCTGCTACATTTGCAGTTCTACTTAGAAATGGTGTGAGAGCTAGTAGTTTCTGCAAATTACATCTAATCTATAATAGTAAAAGTGTAATATGCTAATTAGACCGGACAGCTGGACAACCTTCTGGACGTCCTTCCGGACAACCTTCCAGACAAAGCTGGGGCTGCAAGGGCCAAGCCCCTTGCACGATTTTCGTGCATCAGGCCTCTAGCACGTTAAGCACCAAGCCTGTTTTGTCTTCCTTTCGGTTTAGCCTGAGATATCCTATTTCACCAATATGCTGCCTGCACCAGTGAGTGACTGAGGAGGTCCGGACAGAAAGTATAGTGTTAGTCACCGGTGACTGACATGGCCCTTAACATGCTAGTGTACTATAAACACACCTACACACACACACACAAACATGTGCACAGTGGTTTAACTATACAGCTGCCCATCTAAATCAAGATAGTATTCTTAAACATGTATTCGTTTTGTTTCATGTGGCAAATTTCACTTTTTTTAATTGCAAGATTCCTTTAAAAAATTCATACATTGAGACAACACTCACATTATTGATAACTTTTTTTTTCCTCATCGGTGACACTTTTATCTCAGGTGACAAAATTCTCCTCAGGGAGAGATCCCACTGATTGTTTTTTGTACCACTGCCTCTTGTGTTTTTAAAAGAGTAAAACAGAACAGGTTAAACTGCCAAATACACATCCCAGGGCAAAGGCTGGGAGGAGAAACACGGGTACTCAGGTATCTAAGTTATTTCACACGCAAAGGACTTTACGATGCGTTTACCTTTTGTAAGTTAGTCGGTACTCAGGTATCTAAGTTATTTCACACGCAGACTTTACGATGCGTTTACCTTTTGTAAGTTAGTACATACTGCCCCCATAACGTCTCAAACATAGTCCCTAATGAAAACTCACATTATGGGGTCCAAAATAAACTAAAAGCAGGCATTAGGAAGTAAAACTAAAAATCAGAAAGGAAAAAAAGTGCTGCCAGGGTGTCTCTACCCACCATCACAAATAGTATGCCAGACCCACACACAAGTCAGGGATGCAGAGCCATGAAGGTAAATGATGAAGAGATTTACAGAGTTAATACCTTACCATTCCTGTTCTAAGTGCGCACGTGTGTGTGTGTGCGTGCGTGTGTGTGTGTGTGTATTTCCATCTCTTTGCATGTTTGTGTATACAGACTGAGTGGGGGGAGAGGAAGAGCTTATAGGCACCTGTGAAATAAAAGCATGGGCTCAGCTGGCATTGCTCAGTGTTTGAGTGTCCACCTATGAACCAGAAGGTCACGGTTCAAAATCCTAGTCAGGGCACATGCCCGGGTTGTGGGCTCGATCCCCAGTGTGGGGTGTGCAGGAGGCAGCTGATCAATGATTCTCTCTCATCATTGATGTTTCTCTCTCCCCCTCTTCCTTCCTCTCTGAAATCAATCAAAGTATATTTTAAAAGTAAATAAAAGCATGGAAGAACCCTGCCTTTCTATAAAACACGGTGCATGCATCAGTGATGATTTTTTCCAGTTTTGGACTCCATTTTCGTTTACCCTCACATCGACGTGTATTTTTCAAAGCCAAATTTTTAACATGTGTACTAACTTAGCACTTGATTTACGAGTGCGACCTTGAGATATTCTGGAAAGTTCCACACTATCTTAATATTATAGAAGCTCTGCCGCAACATATGGTCTTTTCCAAATGAAGGAGACACACATGTTCATGGCAACATTTGGTGTGACTTTACCTCTCAGCTGAAGTTTTCTAACAACCGTCTTTCAGGTGCCAGCCAGCACACCATCTCCTGGGTTTGAATCTAAGGAGCTGACAAGTCTGGTATTGGAGTATCTGATGAGATCAGCTCAAAAACGCCTTTAAGGCAACTTGAATATCAACTTACATTGTTAGGTTTAATACTAAACATAGTTAATTTTCTTTGTTCTTTCTAGTATGGTTTATGCTTTTTAATATGGACTGATTAAAAGATGCTGTCATCTTGTTATTTGGGGGAATATACATTAAAATAGTAAAATTTATAATGAAAGAAAGCAACAACAATTTACCAATCACCCCCCACAGATATTTCAGCTTTAAGAATTACACTCTGACTTCCCGCATATCCACACAAGCGCTTCATTTTATGTTCAGATATCACAAATTATAATTTTACAGTATTACATATTTAAAACCATATTTTGATCACTTCTTTAGAGCAGAGTATACACATCAATGGCATATTTACAGATACATTTTCCTCAGGTCCCTGGCACCCAAATCGAGTTTTTAATGCCAGCGTACCATATATAACTGTATGAAACAGCAAATGTAAATGGGCTCCAATAGCTTTTGAGTCGTGAAATATGTTCTCTGCTTGAAAGTTTAATAAATGATTTGAAATACTTGATTCCTACATTCATTAATCAGGCACCATTGGCAGTTTCAATTCTGCCAGTTCTCCCAACCAGTCATTACAGAGTTTTTGCACATTCAGCTCCCTGACCCAGCCCCGGGATAGGCCTTAACCCTTCCTCGGTCCCTGAGGGAGCCCCGGGCATCCTATGCTTCCTGCAAGGCAGCCAATCCCTTCGGTGGCCATGATATCCTTCAATGAGCTCTTCTGTCCTAGCTTTGGAACTTACATTCTTTTATTTAATTATTGAACATGGATTGAGCACCCACTATTTCCCAGACTGTGCAAGGCACTGCAAATAAAACAAACATCCCTGGACTCATGTTGCTGAGAATCTAGACCAGTGGTTCTCAACCTACCTAATGCTGCGACCCTTTAATACAGTTCCTCATGCCGTGGTGACCCCCAACCATAAAATTGTTTTTGTTGCTACTTCATAACTGTAATTTTGCTACTGTTATGAATCGTCATGTAAATATCTGATATGCAGGATGTATTTTCATTGCTACAAATTGAACATAATTAAAGCATAGTGAGTAATCACAAAAACAATATGTAATTATATATGTGTTTTCCGATGGTCTTAGGCGACCCCTATGAAAGGGTCGTTCGACCCCCAAAGGGGTCGCGACCCACAGGCTGAGAACCGGTGATCTAGACACTGAAGCAGCAAGAATGAAAGAGGTCCCTGCTCTGACTAGCATTCAAGTCTAACCCTTGATACTCAACTCAGTCCAGGCTAAGTCTCTCGCTCCAGGATGGGAGCCCCGCTGCTGGTTGGGGTTCTGCTTCAAAAGAGAAAGGACAGGAGAATGTGTCCTTCTGGTGATGGTGATGCCAGTCACCGACAGCCCAGACCGAGAGAAGCTGGCCCCCCCCACCCCGCCACCCCTGCGATGGTACAACCAGCCCTTATTTAGGTCAACTCTGATTTCTGGTGGTTTTCCCCTTCCCCTTCTCCACGGGCCTGCCACTGAGCTAAAGCGGTTTTGACAGGGAAAGCATATAGATTCTTGGAGAACGGAAGATCATGAAATCACCCAGATCCTATCGATCTCTAAAACTCTAGGGGTTTCTGATTGTCATGAGCCACGCATTTCAGTCTGAAAGCATACTGCAGTTTTAAAGGAATATATACACCTTTATTAAAATGAATAAGGCATTTATTACTACCTGCAAGAACCCAGCATGATTGGTACTATTCCTAACTCCATACATAAAGAAGCCTAGAGGGGTTACATAACCTGCCTAATATCACAGTTTGGAAGCGCTGAGGCTGAAGCTCCAATCCCTGGAAGCCTTACTGTCAGAGGTGTTCCTCCACCACTGAACTATGCTCCCGTTCTCATCAGCAGACAGGACACTGTGCCTTACTCATCACGAAAGGGATGGTGAGGGATGGAAGGCGGTGTCAGAGGTCCGAGAGAGCAGGAGCTTTTGCCCTGTGGTTCCTGCTGTCGCTGCTGCTTTTGGAAAGTGTGTGTGTGCAGGTGTATGTGTTCTTGTTTCCCTTCAGGCTTCCAGTCACACAGACTTTGGTCTGATTTCTGACTCGATCACTTTCTAGTTGTGTGACCTTGGGAACGTGACATAATAACATCAACAATGTATTGGCTATTTGCTATGTGCTAGCCACTGTGCTAAGTGCTTAGCATGCGCTGTCTCATTAAATTAAATTAAATCTTCATAAAAACCCAGACAAGAGCTAATATTATTCAGAGTTTAGAGCGTGTGGGACACTGACTGAGAGGGGATAAGAAGTAATAACCTTTCCAACGTCAAAGAGCCCGGGAGGGAACAGCGGTGGCTCATACTGAGTGGGGAAGAGGTTGAGGCAGAGGCCTCCTTGTGGGCACTCTGCCACGAGATGGTTTAGGACTGAACTTGGGAACTAGCACCCACTGCCAGTGGTGACAACTAATAAGGACCCTGGGGGTGAACACTGGAGACGTACATCCTGGGTTCGAATCCTGGTGTCTAGCTGTGATATCCTGGGTAGGTTACTTAACTTCTCTTGGCCTCAGTTTCTTCGTTTGGTAAACATAAATTAATAACACTGTATATCTCAAGGTGTTTCTGTGAAGAATAAGTGAGGCTTTAGCAGAACCGGAGGCAGTAGGTAATCAATAAATTATAATAAACTACAGAGATCATTTTAATTTTGAGTAGTTCTGATTCAGCAAGCTTTTATTTCCATATGATGAAATGAATGAGCAAGAACAGCTTATTTTTGAAGTGTAAAACTCCTCTAAAGAATCAGAAATGTCAGGATCTGGGTGCATCCCTAGATCTGTCCTCTCTTTTAGTTGCTTGGACCAAGTGCAGAGCTGATCTTTTCTTTAAATATCTGTATTGATTTCAGAGAGGAAGGAGAGGGAGAGAGAGAGGGAAACATCAATGATGAGAGAGAATCACTGACTGGCTGCCTCCTGCATGCCCCCTACTTGAGATCTTGAGCCTGCAACCCGGGCATGTTCCCTGACCGGGAATCGAACCATGACCTCCTGGTTCATAAGTAGATGCTCAACCACTGAGCCACGTGGGCCAAGCGGATCTGCTCTTTTCTTTCTTTCCTACATGGATATGTCTAACAAGGCTGGTAGCTCTGATTTACTTGTGACAACAAAGGAAATGTATCAGAAAACCTGACATCTGACATTTCTCAGTATCTAGTATGAATATCTTGCTCACAGCCCACCAGCCAGGACAGCTCTCATTCTAAGAAGGGACACAATAAACGAGAATTCAGAGGCCTGAGTCTCATGAGCTGAGTGATGACAGAATACTCAGGGTCATAATGATTGGGGCGAAGACCTGATTTGGAGAACCTGCAGAAGATTTTTAAGATTTTCCATGAACAAGTGCTTCTTTTTGTTTGTTTGTTTTTCTGAAATAAGTGTTATTAATATATCAAAAGTACTTCAACTATTTTTCAAATTAAACTTCCTAAAAAGAGAATCCATTCTTAGGTTTACACCTAGTTTTTTCTTAGGTCCATCTTGGGTCTTGAGTCCATCTGAACATCCTGTAAGGGAACTGGGTCATTACAATGTCATCTCCCAAGGAATCACAAGGAGGGAGTCCGCACAAGGTCCTATTTAATGATGGTAGGTATTCAGTAAAGTCAGCGAAAACCTGAGTTTGAAGCAATATTGCTAAGTCAGGGACCAGAAAGCAATTCATTAATAAATATGTCAAATAATTTCATGCAAATATAATCTACATTCTTTCCACTTTTAGGATAGCACAAATAAACGGATATCTATAAAGAGGCGAGCTAATGAATTTTTCATGTTTGGAAACAGTGGAAGAAGTCAATTAAAAATTTCTGCTTAGAAACAGAAAATAAACTGCCTATATTTGCACACTGGTCTAATCTTTCAATTCTAAGAATTTAATATTTCAGATAATTGCCCAATTTACAGGATCATAAACTGAAATGAATGGCATGCCAGAAGTTCTATCCTCCCTTCAAACAAAAACATTTTAATGGCTCTTCTACAGTACTTTTCAAAATCTGACTGTAATAAAAGCTACAGTAAACAAGACAAATAAAAAATTCTAAAGGCCTCAATCAGGCCACAACGCACCATAAGTCCACGTCTACCAGCCATACTTAGGCACATTTGATACTGAGGAAAATCTCTTTAATTCCCAGAATCCATCCATTGCTCTGCAGACATTGGCAAGGGGGTCCCTCAAATGTATTGCAATGTCAATAAATAGCACTGCATAGAGGCAAGGGCACTGGATTAGAACTCAGAGACTTAGACTCTGGCCTTAGCCCTGTGCTTCAGAAATTGTGAGTTATCAGTCCCCTATTTCTAAGATCTTTATGGCACCACTATTTTTTGAAATCATGTGCCTTTTTCTGCATGCCCCCAAAAGTAATCACTAAAACTCTAAATTT